CATTTTGAGTTTATTTTTGCGTATGATTTTAGGGAGTGTTCTAGTTTCATTCTTTTACATGTAGCTGTCCAGTTTTCCCAGCACCACTTACAGAAGAGGCTGTCTTTTCTCCATTGTATGTTCTTGCCTCCTTTGTCATAAATTAGGTGACCATATGTATGTGGGTTTATCTCTGGGCATTCTATCCTGTACCATTGATCTATATTTCTGATTTTGTGCCAGTACCACACTGTCTTGATTACTGTAGCTTTGTGGTATATAGTTTGAAGTCGGGGAGCCTGATTCCTCCAACTCTGTTTTTCTTTCTCAAGATTGCTTTGGCTATTCGGGATCTGTTGTGTTTCCATACGAATTGTAAAATTTTTTGTTCTAATTCTGTGAAGAGTGCCATTGGTAGTTTGATAGGGATTGCATTGAATCTGTAGATTGCTTTGAGTAGTATAGTCATTTTCACAGTACTGCTTCTTCCAATCCAAGAACATGGTATATTTCTCCATCTGTTTATGTCATCTTTGATTTCTTTCATCAGTATTTTATAATTTTCTGAGTACAAGTCTTTCACCTCCTTAGGCAGGTTTATTCTTAGGTATTTTATTCTTTTTGTTGCAATGGTATATCGGAGTGTTTCCTTAATTTCTCTTTCTGATTTTTCGTTGTTGGTGTATAGGAATGCCAGAGATTTCTGTGCATTAATTTTGTATCCTGCAACCTTACCAAATTCATTGATTAGTTGTAGTAGTTTTCTGGTGGCATCTTTAGGATTCTCTATGTATTGTATCATGTCATCTGCAAACAGTGAGAGTTTTACTTCTTTTCCAATTGTATTCCTTTTATTTCTTTTTCTTCTCTGATTGCCATGGCTAGGACTTCCAACACTATGTTGAATAAGAGTGGTGAGAGTGGACATCCTTGTCTGGTTCCTGATCTTAGAGGAAAATGCTTTCAGTTTTTCACCATTGAGTATGATGCTTGCTGTGGGTTTGTCATATATGACCTTTATTATGTTGAGTAGGTTCTATGCCCACTTTCTGGAGGGTTTTTTTTTTAATCATAAATGGGTGTTGAATCTTGTCAAAAGCTTTTCCTGCATCTATTGAGATGATCATATGGTTTTTCTTCTTCAATTTGTTAATATTGTGTATCACATTGATTGATTTGCGTATATTGAAGAATCCTTGCATCCCTGGGATAAATCCCACTTGATCGTGGTGTATGATCCTTTTAATGTGTTGTTGGATTCTGTTTGCTAGTATTTTGTTAAGGATTTTTGCATCTCTGTTCATTAGTGATATTGGTCTATAATTTTCTTTTTTGGTGATATCTTTTTCTGGCTTTGGTATCATGGTGATGGTGGCTTCATAGAATGAATTTGGGAGTGTTTCACCTTCTGCAGTTTTTTGGAAGAGTTTGAGAAGCATCAGTGTTAGCTCTTCTCTAAATGTTTGATAGAATTTGCCTGTGAAGCCATCTGGCCCGAGACATTTGTTTGTTGGAAGATTTTTAATTATGGTTTCAATTTCATTACTTGTGATAGGTCTGTTTATATTTTCTAATTCTTCCTGGTTCTGTCTTGGAAAATTGTACCTTTCCAAGAATTTGTCCATTTCTTTGTGGTTGTCCATTATATTGGCATATAGTTGTTTGTAGTCTCTTATAATCCTTTGTATTTCTGCAGTGTCAGTTGTGATTTCTCCTTTTTCATATCTAGTTTTATTGATTTGCATCCTCTCCCTTTTTTTCTTGATGAGTCTGGCTAAGGGTTTATCAATTTTCTTTATCTTCTCATACAACCAGCTTTTAGTTTTATTGATCTTTCCTATTGTTTTCTTTGTTTCTATTTCATTTATTTCTGCTGTGATCCTTATGATTTCTTTCCTTCTACTCACTCTGGGTTTTCTTTGTTCTTCTTTCTCTAGTTGTTTTAAGTGTAGGCTTAGATTGTTTGAGATGTTTCTTGTTTCTTGAGGTGAGATTGAATTGCTATAAACGTCCCTCTTAGAACTGCTTTTGCTGAGTGCCATAGGTTTTGGGTCATCATGTTTTCATTGTCATTTGTTTCTATGTATTTTTTTATTCCTTCTTTGATTTCTTCAGTGATCTCTTGGTTATTTAGTAGTGCACTGTTTAGCCTCCATGTATTTGTGTTTTCCACAGTTTTTTTCCTGTAATTGATTTCCAATCTCATAGCATTGTGGTCAGAAAAGATGCTTGAAACAATTTCAATTTTCTTAAATTTTTCGAGGCTTGATTTGTGACCCAAGATGTGATCTATCCTGGAGAATGTTCTGTGTGCACTTGAGAAGAAAGTGTATTCTGCCACTTTTGGGTGGAACGTTCTATAAATATCAATTAAATCTATGTGGTCTGTTGTGTCACTTAAAGCTTGTGTTTCCTTATTAATTTTCTGTCTGGATGATCTGTCCACTGGTGTGAGGTGTTAACGTCCCCCACTATAATTGTGTTTCTGTTGATTTCCCCTTTTATAGCTCTTAGCATTTGCCTCATATATTGAGGTGCTCCTATGTTGGGTGCATAAACACTTATTATTGTTATTTCTTCTTCGATTGATCCTTTGATCATTGTGTAGCATCCTTCATTATCTCTTATAAGAGTCTTTATTTTAAAGTCTATTTTATCTGATACAAGTATTGCTACTCCAGGTTTCTTTTGATTTCCATTTGCATGGAATATCTTTTTCCATCCCTTCACTTTCAATCTGTGTGTGTCCCTAGGTCTGAAGTGGGTCTCTCATAGACAGCATATACATGGGTCTTGTTTTTGTATCCATTCAGCCAGTCTGTGTCTTTAGGTTAGGGCATTTAATCCATTCACATTCAAGGTTATTGATACGTATGTTGCTATTACCATTTTCTTAATTGTGTGGGGTTTGTTTTTGTGGGTCTTTTTCTTCTCTTGTGTTTCCTGCCTAGAGGAGTTTCTTTAGCATTTGTTGTAAAGCTGGTTTGGTGGTGAATTCTTTTAGCTTTTGCTTGTCTGAAAAGCTTTTGATTTTTTCATCAAATCTGAATGCGATCCTGGCTGGGTAGCGTAATCTTGGTTGTAGGTTTTTCTCTTTCATCACTTTAAGTATATCCTGCCACTGCCTTCTGGCCTGCAGAGTTTCTGCTGAAAAATCAGCTGATAACCTTATGGGGATTCCTTTGTATGTTATTTCTTGTTTTTCCCTTGCTGCTTTTAATATTTTTTCTTTGAATTTAATTTTTGTTAGTTTGATTAATGTGTGTCTTGGTGTGTTTTTCCTAGGGTTTATCCTGTATGGGACTCTCTGTGCTTCTTGGACTTAGGTGACTATTTCCTTTCCCATGTTGGAGAAGTTTTCCACTATAATCTCTTCAAATATTTTCTCAGTCCCTTTTTTTTTCTCTTCTTCTTCCGGGACCCCTATAATTCAAATGTTGGTGCATTTAGTGTTGTCCCAGAGGTCTCTGAGATTGTCTTCAATTCTTTTCATTCTTTTTTCTTTATTCTGCTCCTTGGCAGTTATTTCCCCCATTCTGTCCTCCAGCTCACTTATTAATTCTTCTGCCTGTGTTTCCTTATTGATTTTCTGGCTGGATCATCTGTCCATTGGTGTAAGAGGGGTAATGCAACTGATTTTTATATATTAATTTTGTGTCTAGCAACTTTACTGAATTTGTTAGTTCCAACAGTTTTTTAGTGGAAAGTTTAGGTTTTTCTATATATAACATCATGTCATCTGCAAATAGTGACAGTTCTACTTCTTACTTTCCAATGTGTATGCCTTTTTTTTCTTCTTTCCTAATTGCTCAGGCTGGGACTTCCAATACTTTGTTAATATAAATGGCAAGAGTGGGCATCCTTGTCTTGTTTCTGATTTTGAAAGAAAAGCTTTCAGTTTTCACCACTGAATATAATGTTAGCTGTGGGCTTGTTATATATGGCCTTTGTTTGGTTGAGTTTGTTCTATACCTATATTGTTAAGAGTTTTCATCATAAATGGATGTTGAATTTTGTCAAATGCTTTTTCTGCATTTATTGAGATGATCACATGATTTTGATCCTTCATTTTGTTAATTTGGTGTATCACACTGATTGAATTTGTGATTTTGAGCCACTCTTGCATCCCTGGAATACACCCCACTTAATCATGGTATATAACCTTTTGAATGTACTATTGAATTAGGTTTGCTAATATTTTATTAAGAATTTTTGCATCTACGTTCATCAGAGATATTGGTCTGTAATTTTCTTGTGGCATTCTTGTCTGGTTTTCGTATCAAGATGATGCTGACCTTGTAAAACGAGTTTGGAAGTGTTCCTTCCTATTTTTTGTAAGAGTTTGAGAAGGATTGTTATAATTCACCAGTGAACCCATCCAGTCCTAGACTTCTGTTTGTTGGGAGGTTTCTGACAGCTGATTCCATACCCTTAGAGGCATACTTCGTTTTACTGCACTTTGCTATATTGTGCTTCACAGATACTGTATTATTTACAAACTGAAGGTTTGTGGCAACTCTGTGTCAAGTCTGTTGGTGCCATTTTTCCAACAGCATTTGCTCACTTCATGTCTGTGTGTCATGTTTTGATAATTCTCATAATATTTCAACCTTTTACAGTATTTATTATGGTGATCTGTGATCTTTGATGTTGTTATTGCAGAAAGAGTATGCCTCCCTGAAGGCTCAGGTGACAGTCAGCATTTTTTTTTTTACCAATAATGTATTTTTAATTTAAGGTATGTAAATTGTTTTTTAGACAAAATGCTATTGCACCCTTAATAGAGTACACTGTAGTAGTATAAACATAACTTTTATGTGCACTGGGAAACCAGAAAATTCATGTGACTTGCTTCATCAGGTGGTCTGGAACTGAACCCACAGTATCTTATGTTGTTTGAAATTATTTCCAAATAAAAAACAAAACAAAATGCAAGGAATACTAGTCAAGTTCACAGTCCAGTGCAGGCTGTGGAAGGCACTCAGCAAATCCTCTGTCTCTCCCATTTCTCTCCTGCCCAGCGTGGAGACCGTGAATGACGGGCAGTTTCACAGTGTGGAGCTGGTGATGCTAAACCAGACCCTGAACCTGGTGGTGGACAAAGGAGCCCCCAAAAGCCTGGGGAAGCTCCAGAAGCAGCCAACAGTGGGCATCAACAGCCCCCTCTACCTTGGAGGTAAAGCCCCACCCCCTCCCACCCCAAACACCTCCACCTCCCACCTGCCCCCTGTGCTCGGGCACCCACCCCCAGGCCAACTGGTGAGGCTCGCTGCTCTCAGCACCCACTGCCAAAGCTAATCAACGAAGGCTTCCTGGAGGAAGTGACAACCAAGCTGCTCCCTAAAATGTGAATAGTTAGCCAGATCATGGGGAGGAGAAGAGGAAAGGAAAGAGAGCAGGGTTCCTTCTGAGAAACTACACGTTTTTTAGGGAGGATGGTGGAAGGTGAAGATGGAATGGGAAGGAAGGAGATGGATACAGGGGCCAGCCCCTTCAGATACAGGGGCTTCCTCTGCTCTGCCACCCCCTTAAATGCTGTGAGTCTCAGCTGATGTGTGTAGAGGAGTATGTTTGCCATTAAGGTCATTCAAAGGCCAAAGAGAGAAGGAGCCACCAGTCTGGCAGAGCATGGGCCTGAAACCCAGCCTTGGGCCAGTAGTTCTCAAAGGGTTACGTGCCAAAGAAAAAAAAAGGCATCAGAGCAGCTTATTCAACATGGAGGTTCCCAAGACTTCTCCCAAGGAGTCCACCTCCGAGGGCTGGAATTCGGGCGAGCAGGGTGGGCAGGGGAGTATCTTCAGGTCGCTGTCCTGGTGTCCCTCCCGCAGGCATCCCCACCTCCACGGGCCTCTCGGCCTTGCGCCAGGGCGCGGACCGGCCGCTGGGCGGCTTCCACGGCTGCATCCACGAGGTGCGCATCAACAACGAGCTGCAGGACTTCAAGGCCCTCCCGCCGCAGGCCCTGGGCGTCTCGCCGGGCTGCAAGTCCTGCAGCGTGTGCAGGCACGGCCTGTGCCGTGCCGTGGAGAAGGACAGCGTGGTGTGCGAGTGCCACCCAGGCTGGACCGGCCTGCTGTGCGACCAGGAGGCCCACGACCCCTGCCTCGGCCACAGGTCGGTGTCCCTCCCCCTCTGCCCCGCCCGGGAAGTGGGCACTGATGGAAGCTGGAGGGACTGCAGTCAGACTGTAGACAGGGGCTGCTTAGAAGGTCAGGGGCTTAACACGTCCAAACAAACAGCAGGTCTTGTTCAGAGGAGACATCAGTGTGCCAGAGCCTAGCTGAAAAACACTTGTCAAGTGGCCTTCAGAAGTTGAAAGGGGCACCCGTGTGCATGCACCTTGCCAAGTGGGTGCATTTCGGCCCGACTCGACTCCCCACTCAGTGGTAGCCTGTGAGGGCACCAGGGGTGTATAACCACACACAGCCGAATCATTTCATGGCTCTGGCATTCATTATGCATCAAAATATTCACTGAGGGCCTACTGTGTGTCAGGCCTTGTGCTAAAAATAGGAGACCCAGCACCCTCAGTGTTCGGAAATCTGAATCGGCCAGAGATGACACCAGAGCCATGTCTAGTAATTCGCTTGGCCGAACAAGCTGGGACATGATATTGTGGATCAGGAGTGAAGGATGCTATAAAGGGGTTGAGTTTCCTGGGTAGCTCTGGAGTGTGTGTGTGACTATGAGTGTGTGTGTGTGTATGCATTGGACTCTGTAACGAATACGTCTACAATGAACCCTGCCTCTGAATGTCATCCCAGTACAGAGAATGCTGCAGCACAATTAAGAATCCAGGCTGTGGCATCCGTTTCTCCATCTAGGAGATGTGGATAAGACTGTCTACTGCACAGGAGAGCAGAGGATGTGGATAAGACTATCTACTGCACAGGACAGCAGAGGAGAGGGGATTGTAGAAAATAAGACTGATGCTAGGTGTAAAGCACTTACCCCAATGCCTGGCACAGAGCAAGTGGTAGCTGGTGGTAGAGACAGTTATCAATTAAGATGGCAGAAGACTGCGTGGGTTCTGACGTCTGTGGGTACAACAGCCAGCCTCATCAGGCTCACAGCTGTCAGTGTCACTGGGCGATGCTCACAGCCTCCAGCTGACTGATGCTCAGCCACTGGGCTGGTGGAGGGTGGACCATGGGGTGGAGAAGGCCTAAGCTCCCACAGCTCCGTGTCCCCTGGTCCGGGCTGGGGTGGACAAAGGAAGCCTCCAGCTGCACTGACTGCCTGGTTCCCCTCTCATCCTCGCCTCTGCCCCCAGCTGCAGTCAGGGGAGATGCGTGGCCACTGGGACCTCCTATGTGTGCAAGTGCGCCGAGGGCTACAGAGGGGCCTTGTGTGACCACAAGAATGACTCTGCCAACGCCTGCTCAGCCTTCAAGTGTCACCACGGGCAATGCCACGTCTCAGACCAAGGGGAGCCCTACTGCCTGTGCCAGCCCGGCTTTAGTGGGGAACACTGCGAACAAGGTGGGTCCACTGTGCGCATCGGCGGGGGTGGGGGACGGTGCCCGGGAAGGATGCGGGGGTCAGACTTGGACTCCACATTCAGATGACCTAAGTTCCGGTTCTGGCTGAGCCACTTAGAGGCTGCATGACCTTCATTAAGTTACTTTCTGAGCCTCAAATTCCGTCATGTTGAATATGGGGGGCAACACCATAACTTCCTGTGTCAGTTAGCCATTGCTGTATAACAAATTAGCCCCAACACATAGCAGTTCAAAACCACACTAAACAGGCTCCATCCCACACGGTTCCCGTGGGTCAAGCATTCAGAAACGGCTTAGCTGGATAGTTCCAGCTGGGGTCTCTGGAGGTTGCAAACCGCCAGGACTGTGTGAGCAGTCTGGGTTGTTCTTTCTCTCCTCTCCCCTCCCCTCCTTTTCTAATTGCCGGCCCTAGAGCTGCCAGAGTGGCCCTCTGACCAGCACCACTGACTCACCTGGGAGCTTATTAGAAATATAGACGCTCAGTCCCAGCCCAGCCCTTCTGAATCAGAACCTGCTTTAACAAGAGCCCTCGATGGTTCTTAGTCACATTAACACTTCAGACATTGCTCTGCAATCTCCTCCCAAACCTCATGCCATTATTGGGTCAACAAAAGACAGTTCCTTGGTCTGATCCCATTTCAAAAACATCAAATCACTTACCTCTCTTAGTGACCCCTTTAGTGTATTAATTTGGAGGTAAGTGCAAAAAAAGGAAAATTGAAATTAAATTATATTCCAGCTGAAATGGTTCTGTCTCACCTTGGAGGTTTTTCTCCTGCATGGAAACTGAGAAGTCTTCGTCTTCCTTCCTGCCACTAGAATCCTGGGCAGGCTACCTCCTGTCACTAGAGGACTCTTTCACATCTTATACCTTGTTGAAATACCATTCTTAACCAATTTGGTAAATAATGTATTCTGAAATAATTTCAGATCTAACAGAAAAATGGCCAGAATATAAACAACAGCGTTCCCATTCCCTTCAGCTGGACAGCCCAACTGTTAACATGCTGCCGAGTGTGCGTTCTCCCTGCCCCGCACATCACACACACCTATTATCATTAGGCTTCTTTTGATCCTGTTAACAATCACATAATTTTAAAAACCTATATCAAGCTTAACAGAATTCACATTACATCACATTAACCACCTAAAACTTTAAACTGCATAAAGCCCTTTGCATTCACAATCCCTGTGATGCTCATAACAGCCCCTGAAAAAGCAGGAAGAACCAGGACCTGTGTCACCATTTTCCGGACAAGGAAACTGAGGCTCAGGGATCCAAGGCTGTGTGGCCGAGGATCCTAGTCCTGAATCCATGACTCTCTCTCTCAGTGCCTTGCTCCAGATGCTTTCCCAATGTACTGAGGACAGTAGTGGGGTCAAGGTGAAGAGTTGGGTCAGGGACCGGAGGATTAAGCAGATCCAGGGGTCCCCTCCCCTCATTTCTACAACTTGTGGAAAAGCTCGCACGCATGCGCGCACACACACACACCCCACCCCCAGACTCTTTGGCTCACTGACTACTGTTCCTCTTTCAGATCTCAACTCCAGCATCACTTCCCAGAGACAATCCCTGGCCCCTGGGCTAGTCAGGCTCCTTTGCCATGTATTTTGTATAAACACATCCCGTTTCTTCGTAGCATGCACCTCAGTTTATCATTACAAATGTATTTATTTAAATGACACTGTAATTAGTGTCTAGACTCTACACCAGCAGAGACAGGCTACTGAGAGTGGTGGGGACTGGGGCAAACTGGAGATCTCCTGCCCCGTCTAAAGCCCACGGCTTCAGCCCATCATTGCCACACAGGGACTCAGCTTTGCCAGAGCCCCTGCTTTTCAAAGAAACCAGATATCCCAATGTTCAGATGCAATCTCCTGGCATTGTGGTTTTTTTCTTTTTTTTAATGTTGGCATTTAATTTGGTTTCTAAGTGTCTGTGGCACAAGCAACATAGGTCTGGGATGGGATTTAGCCCTCAGTCCCCCAATCTGCCACATCTAGTTTGATCTTTAAGTTCCTTGAAGGAAGGGACCGAGCCTGCTCTTGTCACCCTGCTATCCTCGGGGCTTAGTTTTAAACCTATTATCGAGGTTGGCACGGAAAGGCACTTAGTATTTGTGGAAGAGTGAGATGGGTTATGGGAGGGTGGGCAGGGAGATGGATGGACGAGTGAATGAGTAAGTACGCACGGGCTTCGGCCCACGAGTGTCTCAGAGCAGCCTACCCCGGACAGCCATCTCCAGCCCCAATGCCCTGCCCTTACCTCTTCCGCCCTCTGCAGAGACTCCATGCCTGGGGGGGGTAGTCCGAGAGGTGATCCGCCGCCAGAAAGGTTATGCCTCGTGTGCCACGGCCTCCAAGGTGCCCTTAATGGAATGTCATGGGGGCTGCGGTCCCCAGTGCTGCCAGCCCACCCGCAGCAAGCGGCGGAAATACGTGTTCCAGTGCACAGACGGCTCCTCGTTCGTGGAAGAGGTGGAGAGACACTTAGAGTGCGGCTGCCGCCCGTGTTCCTAAGGCCCCCCGCAGCCCTTCCGCCTCCCAGACTCCAGCCGGGTGGGTGGGGACGGCCACGTGGGACCCCCCCCACGAGATTCGCAGTGAAGCAGTAGAAGCTGGAAAGGAAGCAAAAGAAGAGAATATTAAGTATATTGTAAAATAAACAAAAAATAGAACTTATTTTTATTATGGAAAGTGACTATTTTCATCTCTTATTATATAAATATATCACACCATCTGAGTATATGTACCATATAGTGAGTTATTTTTACCGACCTTTTTGTCCTGTGTTGTGTATTTGTCGTGTTTTTATAAACAGCTGTTAAAAGTTTTAAGAAAAAAGGCTAATAAAAATGTTTTAAAACGAAAGGATGAGCATAAAGAAGTGATAGCCTGTCTGAGAAGGAAGGAGGAGGTTTATACGTCTAGGAAACACTGTCGTCATTAGGTCGGCAGAAACCAGAACCTGCTTACTGAGCTCAGGAAACAGAACGAGAAGAGGAAAAGAGCGAAGGAAAAGGTTTTTCTTTGTTTCTTCCGATTTTTAATGACTTTTCCTTCCCTACAAGCACCCAGCTTTTCAGTCCTGGTTGCCGAAGCCCAGGATGCCCAGTTCTTCCAGGAAAAGCCACTGAGCACTGGCCTCTGACTCTCCCTGGGACCCAAAGCATCGGCCGCCGCCCATGTGCTCCAGGCCCCTGCAGGGTCTCAGCCCACTGCAGACCCCCTCCCCATCCTGGCTGCCCTTGATTCCATTACAGGACTGTCTGAACTCCGCCACAGGCTTCATCTGAGCCTGTTTTGCCAAATCTGAAAACAGCTGCCCTTCTCCTGCCCCTCCCCAGGAAGGCAGTCCCCCTGCGGCTCCTCCAGGAACGCAGGGGTCACCCATCTCCTCAAGCCCCAGCACTGGCCCTTCCACTGGAAGTTCTGAACCACTCTCCTCCCTCAGCCAACCTCGTACTGGGAGGCGACACTAGGAGAGCAGGCAGCCCGGCTCACTGGCAAGTTCTGGGAGGCTCCTGCCATGGGGTACCTAGGCCTCTGACACCTGAACCTCCAGGCCTCCGTCATGATGACGAAGACCCCTTGCCCGTCTGTACCACTTCTCCGTGCATATCCACACTGCACCTTATTCTCTCCATGCGACCCCTGCCCCCGGCGAAAGGAAGCACTATAACCCCATTTCATAGATAAGGAAACTGAGGCCTCGCTCCAGCCCTGTACCTCTCCTTACGCCACACCTCTGATAAGTGAACGAGCCAAGCCTGGAGCCTAGACTCAAAACCCTAGATTCCTTCTCCAGAACAGCATAAACCCAGGAGATGCGGGCAGTCTAAGTTCATCAGAGAACCCCTACCAGAAAAGGAAATGGTTTTTTCTGCTATTTTTCCTGCTCTCATTCTGCCTTGTTCTACCTCCTTGGTATCCAGAATGATTCTAGACTGGGGGACTTACGTATCGGGGGTGTGAGCCAGGGCAGCCTGTCTAGCCCAGACTCCACTCCAGGAACTGCCAGCCCTCCTGAAGGGGACTTGCCCCTGCCTCTTCCCCACCCTCGTCTGCCCCTTTCCACCCCAGTCAGGCTAGGGCAGATGGTCCAGGGGCTCAGCAGCTCACACCGACCCCCGTCTCGCACCCATTGCTCCCTCCCCCAGGAGCCTCCCCTGCAGAAGAGTCAGGGAGGAGAGTGTAGGGCCCAGTGGACCATCCAGCTCTGAGCATCCCCAGAGGAGCCCAGTGGTTCTCTGAGGACTGATGGCGAGCCAAAGGCTCAAAGAATCAAGAAGGGAGAAAGAAAAGACGGAGGAACAAAAGGCAAGTGGCAGATAGGAAGGCAAGGAGGGAGGGAGGGAAGGAAGGAAGGAGGGAGAAGAGAGAGAGAAGGGAGGGAGGGAGGAAGGAAGGAAGGAAGGAGGAGAGAGAGAAGGAAGAGAGGAGAGAGAGAGAAGGAAGGGAGGGAGGAAGGAAGGAAGGAGGGAGGAGAGAGAGAGAAGGAAGGGAGGAGAGAGAGAGAAGGAAGGGAGGGAGGAAGGAAGGAGGGAGGGATGGAGGGAGGAGAGAGAGAAGGAAGGGAGGGAGGAAGGAAGGGAGGGAGGAAGGAAGGAAGAAAGGAAGGAAGGGAGGGAGGAAGGAAGGAAGGAAGGAAGGAGGGAGGGAGGGAGGGATGGAGGGAGAAGAGAGAGAAGGAAGGGAGGGAGGAAGGAAGGAAGGGGGAAGGAGAAAGAAACAACAAAAAGAGAGGGATGAAGAGAGGGAGGGATAAAATAGAGGAATTTACTGTAAAATATATATATTATATGTACTATACATCATGTTCCAGGTACTTACTGTACCTTATGATGACTGTTTCAAATATTAATGGCTGATTGACTTAGTACTTACATTATACATTAGGTACCATTCTAATTTATATATATTAATATATAATATATATTCACTTAATTCTCAAAACAACCCTGTAGTAAAGACATTGCTAACCCATTTTACAGTTCAGTAAATTGAGGCATGGAGAAGTTAACGTGCACAAGAGCAGATGCCTAATAAATTACAGAGCCGGGATCTGGGCCCACCCTGTCTAACTCCAGGACTTGCTCCTCATGGGAAGGAAAAAGGTCCCACCTCTAAGGATCCTACGGTCTGAGGCAGAAACAATCATGGAAATAGACAATTGTTTTATTATATGGAAGTAGCTGTCCAGAGTAAGGAATTTCCTATCTTGGGTCTTCAAAGATGAATAGGACTTTGCCTGGGCACAGGAAAGGGAGTTGAACTTTCCATGAATGCCCTATTAAAAAGCAAGGGAATATGAAAAGACCTGGCATGTTTGGGGAGCAGTCAGAGGTCTGGGGTGGCAGGAGTGTGGCTGCACACTGGGGAGCAGGGATAAATGGGGTAGACATGAAGCAGGGGTTCAACCACAGAGAGCCGTGTGTGGCAGGCTGGACCACAGGGCCCCAGCAGGGGTTTTTGAGCGGGGGAATAGCAGAACAAGCTCTGAAGAGAACGGGTGGCAAAGCAGAGAAAGGCCTGGAAGAACAGATAGGGCTTTGCCACCCAAAATAGCCTTGGGGCTTCCCTGGTTGCTGACTTCAGTTTGTTGAGGCTAGACAATGCTGATTTCCGGATGGGTCACAAAGTATTTGTGGTAGCTCAGAAGCTCACCCCTGGAAGGGGTGTCCTGGGATCTGCCCAATACCCCTCCCATCCCCCAGGCCCTGCCAGCCCTCCTCACATAGGCAGGTGGTCCTGAGCCTTCTTCTACCACCAGCACTCCTAGCTAGCTCTCCCCACCCAGCACAAAGCCCGCTCAGCCTGCCATCTTGAGAGCCCCACGCAGGGTCCCTGACTTTCTGAGAGGACTCACCAAGCTGACAGCTTTCCCTCTGCCTCCCAAAGAATCTGAGGCCTTTCTCTGCTAGTCACCCCTGGGCCCAACCCCGAATCCAGCCACAGTCAGCCAAGACAGCCAAAGGGCAGGGTTCTTTCTCTCAGTGTGGCTTGGGGGTGATTTTCAGCTTTCCCCTCAATTTTGGTAGCCCTGAATTTATGAAATGCCAAACTCAGAACCATTAAGAAAATCCTCCCCAAAATGAAGTTTCTCTAACAACTGGAGATGAAAACTCTCTTGAGCAGCCAAATTCTAGAAACAGAAAGTCCCACGGGACAGAAAGAGTTCCGCTGGTTAACTCGCACACATGATGGTTCAACGCCTGTGCGTGAGGATGTGCACGTGTGCAGAAGAAGGGGCTCAGGCTGCGTTCCCCTCCTGAGCAGGGTTCAGGGAAAGGGGAAGGGAGTGTCCCTCTTGACTCAACCAAGGGACCCCAAAATGGTTAGTGAGATAATGTATTTAAAAGCTCTTTGTAAAGTGTAAACTAAAAACCTTCAATGTAAGATGTTATTGTTATTATTACTATTGTTGTTGTTATTATTGACATGCCAAAAGGCCCTCTGTACAAGATGGCTTTGCCTTTTCAACTTCATAGAAAAGAACCTGAGTCTGACACTTCAGAAAGGTGACAGAGAGGAGAACAACGAGGAAGGAGGCAAGGAAAGGGAGGGAGGTCTCCTAGGGCCAGGGAAAGAGGAGAAAATCCCCCAGGATGACCCTCAGGAACCCAGGAGTGGCCAGGATGGGGAATGAGCTAACCTTGCCCTTCACCGGATACAAAGCTATCAGCAGGCTGAGCCCTCAGGCCACGCAGTGCCTTTGCTGGGAGCAGAAGCCCCTAGTGTACAAGGACCTGCCCCCAAAGGCCCACAGGCTCCCAGATATCAGAGTGGGAGGAACCCAAGGGGGTCCCTGGTGGCTGGGAACACCGAGAATCAGAGCAATGGCGTGTCCAGACCAGAGACCAAGGTCATCCAGGAAATGAACACCAGGGGCAGGAAGAGACCCAGGTGCCTTCCTGCGACTCCACAGGGGGCATCCAGGCAGAGTGAAGCCTGAGACAGGCCCTCCAATCCCTTCTTGGTGGCCAGGAAAGTATCCTTCACCTTCCCCCACCGCCGTCTCCCGGTGCACCCAGATGGCCGGGAAGCTGGGGCACTATCTGGTTTGGTGACACTTATCCACGTTTCCCAGTCTGGGTTAGACAGTGCCAAAGGAAACACTTGGGGAAAGTTGATGAGAGATGCCAGCTAGCAAGGCCAGCAAAGCCAGAATGGGGCATTTGGCAAAGCTGCTTTCTCTAACTCAACAAATTTCTAAGAGGGAAAATTTTAAGATGTTTTTTAAAACAATGTAATAGCGCCACTTCCCCAGTATGGGATAAATAATGTGTTTCGGTTTTTTTTTTTCCCAACAGACTGTCATATGCTGATATCAATTAAAATAAATGGATGAGTCACAGGAGAGCTATCAGATGCTCTTGTGAATACCATAACCTCGGCGCTGCTCTGTGGTGTGTGCTTTATTTTTACTCCTGACCTTCACACTCCCTGGAGCAAAGGTTACTGCATTCCTGGGATTTGGGCAAGTCTGGTGTGGAGTAAGTGAAAAAAATCGGTTTCTTGCACCATGAAGTGGGAAAAATGGATCCAGAGTTCCCCAGAGACATGGGAGAGAAGCTCCAACACATGGCTTAAGGTCTGCAGGGCACGTGTTATGTATGGTCACAGAGAGGGGGCCAAGGGTCACAGAGCGGGGAGCCACTCCAACACAGAGCACACTTATTAAGATGTGAAGGAAGACTCCTCCTGGGAACTCCAATGCCTAATTAAACCCCCTCCTTTTGTCACTTCTTTCACAAGCATTTACTGAAGATCTACTACGTGCCAGGTTTTGGTCTAGGCACCGAGGGCTACGAAGATGACCCAGACAAAGTCTTTGTTCTCCTGGAGCTTAATTTTTAACTGAGTG